CATCACTGGACATGGAGCCAAAGGAGACATCCCCGTCAATTTCGGCGTAGCCCTGTCGGTGATTCGACAATATGTTCAGCAGTGAGGTACAGCCTGCGCCCGGATTACCCAAGACGAGAAGCATTTCTGGAGAACTGTCAGCATCATTTGGTTCGCGCTTGATGAATAGGCGCGACATACCTCCAGGCTTCACACATCCATACGAGTTGTCGATGATTGTCTTCATTGGCGCACCCTTTCCCCTATTTCCGAATGGATTCAGCTGCGACAGCACGTTCTCGTTGAAGACGGCATCGTTGCTGATACCCTTGACTGTGAGATTCTTCCATGTCACACCCAACTTCCGGGCTTTGCCGCCATTAGCTTCGTCACGATCCCTGAGTACTCTGACTTCTTGCGAGATAGGCCATGTTTCGCTGTGGATGGGTGCACTCTTGGAAGTGGGTAAGTAGTCTTGATCGACGCGCTCGGTGCTGTACCCAGAACTAGGAGTCGTTGGTTGCATTTGCAGTGCAAATTTGTGTATAGTAGGTACGTGAATCGATTGGAGGCCAACTGCAACAACAGGAAGTTTGGTGTTGGCGGCTGAAAAGACAACGGAGTGACGGCTGGATGGTATGGACCAGAGAAACTGCAGGACCGGTAGTCCATATAGTCAAGTACCAAATTTGCTTATCTACATCATTTCTTCCATAGATCTGAAGCCACTCCGTGCGCCATCTGGCAAAGCTCTTGGCCGGAGAGAGGTCGAACCGCATAATCTGTTGTGGTGGAGGGCGTGCTGCAGTACGGCCGTAAGGCCTGGGTCGAAGACACGGCCGTACCCTTGCGCCTCTTCGGGCCGTCACATATGCCCACGAGAGTCGGAGGATCAACGCGCCGCCAGACGCCTGGCTCCGACTCCGTTCCATAACAGATTTGAAATATAACCGCGAAGACCCGATCGCTTACCTGACTGCTGTTGTTTACTGATACATCTGTGGTTATTGTGTTCTTAGTCATGAGGAATTCGCCGAGGACGTCAGCTTGGATTTGGTCAAACAGCAATCTTTTGCGGATGTTTCTTGTGCGGTTGACATGTACTCGTAGCGATGCGCCTGTATTGGAAAACATGTTACAACCTTGAATGCCATCGCTTCTCGGATGCTTCTCAAGTGCATCCCATGTACGTCAGATCGTATTGCGCAAGGCTGGATACGTTTGGACCTCTCGGTGACCTTGTAAGTGTTTCCGCGCATGTATGCATCGTTATTGTGTGGGCTATAAGGTCGTAGACAAACCGTGCTGGCAAGCCGGAAGACAGAACGACTCGAAGATCGATGACATCATGTGATGATCGCCAATGATGACGACCTCGGCCCACGCTAACCAAGAGACCCCAAACTTCCGAGAGCCTACGTTAACGTTGGATTATATATTTTGCATATTTCTATCTTGATGTAGGCTGCAGACCTGTTCAAGCTACTCCTTGTATGAGGTGGACCCACATAACACGCCTGAACAGCTGCAAATACCGCTTAGCTTGTCGGCGCACAAACGATGCGCAATCCGCGTCACGTAGGCGCCGAGATATATGGTAGGTAAGAACGCCCAGAAATTGGATCCTACGATTTGAGTGTCCCTGAATCAAGACCAGACGGTTGCAGCAATGCTTAGCTGTATGATTTGAAAGTAGCTGACGCGAAGTTTGACCCTAGTCGAGCAAAGATGTTCTCCATCGAGCAAACAGGTACCGCGAGTGGAAAGAATGGAAGAAAGACTACGTAGCGTGGTGATATGAGAGAGCTACGAGCTTCTCTAGATCGGCTTACAATATTCCAAATCCTGTCGCCATACAACCAACTCTTTTACTTCTTCATTCTCTCGCTTCGCCGATCGGGCTTTGCAAGGTTGTATATCGCCAACGAGCATCGTAAGCATGTAGTACAATACGGTCCACGGAACATCCAGTCAAAAGCTGAATAAGGTTTAGTCTCCGAAGCCGACCACACGATCTCTCCACTGCGTGACATGCCTCTGTGCATTACTGGCGCAGAGCGAAGTTTGACGGAAGAGGCTTAGTCTCCGAAGATTAAGGCCCCCAGCTAACCGTGTTTCGAACTCGCGCTTTTGAGGGCTTGACCTTGACGCATGCCAGAATTGCGAGATGATCTCGTGCGCCTCTAGGCTGCTCGTTGGGCAACCATGTATATCACGTGCCAAACCATACGGTCAAGGTTGTAAGTAGCATACGAAGAATGCGCAAGTGCTTGTCAACTTGCGGTTGTATCCGGTTACCAAGGTGCCTGAGAATCTGCGAGATCATGCGGTACTCAGAGCCTCTTCCCATCGCTGTCGGAACTGTCCCTCTCCGCGCTGTATCTTGTACCAGAGCACTACTTCCAAATACGAACGAACCTCTACCCATGTATATAGTGCTAGATCATGAGCAAGAGTCGTGGCGTATGCACTGAACCAGCCAGATGTATCTGTGTCCTGCGATGCAACCATACCGATGGACAATACCCACAAGGCGATTTCAGCGTTTGCAGTCGCGAATGTAGGCATTAAGTCCTCGATATATCTCTTGAGTTCGATGACTAAGGTGGACTGTAGATGCGCATGCGAGAAGTATGTCGGTCCATGAATGATGAGCATGTATAATGCTATTGCGTATCGGATGCATTGGGAAGTCGAACATGAGTTCGAGTATTTGAGTTGTGATTTCGATGGTGACCAGGAAAGTAATTTGTGCAAGACGAAGCATGTTAAGTCATGCAGATGAGTAGTTGAGAGCTCTTGCTGGCGTGATACGTGGAACACATGTCGAAGCCGCGTGAATACATCGCCGATTGTGGGATCCATGTCGAGTTCCGAAAGGCCGAGTGAAGACTGGTCTTGAGAAGACGCTGGTAAATCCAACCATTTCGATATCGGGGCTATTCCGTCTCCAATATCCAGATGATCTTGGACGCTAAATTGCGGACTTTGCGTCAGTATCAATGAGACCCTGGATTAGAGGATTAGTAGAGCGACCGTAGATAGCGGACGATGAGTGACATGATTACCACGTGACCATTCGCGCTGTGAGGGGGCTTGTGAGTTTCAAAAGATGTATGCCGCCTCGCATTCGCACCATCTTCTTCACGCCATCGATGTGCATGTTACCAATTGTCAAATTGCCTTTGCCAAACTATAATTTCAGATGTCAGCGTATCAAATGAAGGGGCCCCAATGTTCAGAAGATCATCATACCTCTATGGCAGCAAGCGTTACGACCGAGTCCATGGTTTCGTCCTCATAAGCCTGAAGCGGGTCTTCAACTCGTCGCCGGACTAATGAAATGGAGTCTGCCATGAGAACCTCAGAGTTGTCGAATCCATTCTGAGCTCTCATCTCTATGTCCAACGACGCTGTCTGGAGGCTGACGTGGAACAAAGCGGAGTCATGTAGCGCAAGTGGCCACCATGACACAACGAAAGGGTTTGACATTGCGTTGAGATCCAATGGATAATACTGGAAGGCGATGTTTGATAAGACTATGGCGTATCAGTAAGCAGGGTAGTTGCAAGAACCTTCAGCAGGGAGGGATTCTTGACAATATACAAAACTAAGGGGGTCATGGTAGTTTTGCGAAGTTGTCAGCGCATCCGGTGCGGCTTTTGGTACGTACAATGAATCATGAGTTGTTGAACGCGAGCCCGGGGTAGTCTTGTGGCTGGGTAAGTGTCGAACGGGTCGAAGGCCTTATTTGCAGGATGGTTCCACAGTGCAGGTTGTTGGTTTCGATCCAACACAGGCGAGGTACTTGTGTCATTACGTATGCTCCGGGAAGTATAATTAGAAGGTACAGTCTCGGTGGACGACGAGGTAAGTGGCTCGTTTGCGTAGACACAGCTGGCTTTCCGTTTTCGACAGCGTGAGCATGTGGGTGTGCGTAGATCGCAGCTCAATTTCGATCTCGCACAAGCATCGCACGATCTCCTGAGCGTCCTACGCATTGTGAGGTACTCTCCGGAGGTTCAGGCATGACCTTTGTCTTTGATGAGGGGATGGAGTGCTGCGCATGCGGGAAGACGCGGGTCGCCCTCGCTTACATTAGCGTCGACAAGGGTTGGTGTGATGGGCTGAGCTCGTGTGCCCGTCATCAACGCCATTCTCCACCATCGGAAAATGAACTCTCTACGTGAGTCAGGCAACGCCTCCTTCTCAAAATCTCTCATTGCCGTGGCCGGTTTGTACTTCGGCAAGTCGCATATTTGTAGCCAGAGCGGTCGTATTTGAACAGCTCCTCACCTTGCAAAGGACTTTGGTTCATCTATGAGCTACTAAGCTGTTCACCTATGCATATTCGGCACTACAAGACAGCGGCGTGACCAGGGCATGGATCTCAGCACATTGCTTACAACATAAAGTTCTTCACTTATTTCCAAAACACGAGGATGCTCTTTACGCGAGAACACTCTTCGTAGACGCAATTTACACGTCGACCCCAGAGTAGTCAACCGCGACCCCGATCGCCACCCAGTCATATGCACTGCAGATCTGGCCCTTCCAGAAGTCTGACCCTGCTCGTTCTACGATATTGCGGAGAAGCCCAGAATAGCCCGATCGCCCACCAAGATTGCTGTCGTTCTCGTTGTTGGTGCCGGAGACAAGGGTCATAAGACCTGGATCGCGGCTCGCTTAATCTGGGTAAATGCCAATGGCATGTGGTCGAGAACGGACGGAGCGGCTATTGGATATTGGGCATAAAGGGACGACAAAGTGCTATACGGAGTCCATAATTCGTGGTTGTCTGGGAGGTATGCAGATCTCGTGGGAAATTCTGAGGCGGCATCGGTCTTTTCGAAAACTATTTCGGTATAAGAGCTCAGGATCGCGCTCGTTTTGAGAAGATGTTTGAGATACGTATTCTAACCTTATACTAAGTCATTACCTTTCGCTCGACACAAGTGCCGCACTCTAGACAACATCGTAGTCTTGTTACATCTGGCATCACTCCGCCGTTACCACCAACGATGCGTTCCCTCCTTCCCCTCGTCGTCCTTCCACTCCTAGCCCTCGCGGCCCCACCAACTTCTCCAACAATAACGCGGCTCGTTTTCTCGGGCTCAGGATGTCCTAATGACTCTGGTTCCGTGAAGTCTGACACCGCAACCCTCGGTGACAGCGCCGGCGTCTCCTTCACGCAACTCAAAGGCGACACAACAGATAACTGTGCTGTACACATTCAGTCAGCTGGAGCGAGCGAAGGCTGGCAAGTTGCGGTTCGACAAGTGGACTACGTGGGCGATGTGAATTTGAAGGGAAACAGCGGACTGGATACATATACCCAGGTCTTCTGGAGTGAAAATGCTGGAAATACTGTGAATAGTCATCATATCAAGGCTGAATGGAGAAACGCTGACGATATACAGGGCGTGCTCACAGGTGGTCTCGCATGTGCTGGCCCAGAGATCAAAGACTACATTACTGTGCGGAGCAGCACCGCGGATCTGAAGTGGTCAAAGTGTACTGGCGCAGATGGCAATCCTGGTATCTTGAACGTCAACTTTAGGCCAGTCGTTCAGGGGGACTTTGGTACATATGACTTCAAACATGCTGCGTGGAAGTTGGAATGGCGGAGATGCTAGAGTGGTATGAAGGTCTGCTTTTGAAGGAGACTAGAGAAGCGTGTGTACAACAAAACTCGGTGCATAAAATGGAAACAGAATGTGAATAAGCGCTCTTGGACTTCTTCTCATACCTCCGTGGACAACAGCCTCTCTGTTCTTGCCCAACTGCGTTGCTAACTACGACCATGCTGAAGCATTCACTAGAACGTACCTAGGTATGCTGCATACGCAGACTAGACAGTGATATCAGCTTGCCGATGACGCTATTACCTCAGGAGAAAATGTGAGCATGGGGAAGTTGAAGTCAGTATCCCCCTCCCCAGTCTCGGTTGGTGCGTCTTCCGCTGAGTGGGCTGATGTAGAGTGGCCTGGGATCAGGTATACCAATACTCGTCGGGTATCACTTCGCGCTCTGCATCGTTGACGTATCTGAGGGGCGCAATATATTCCCCGAGGGACATGGCACGATGTAGACGCCGGCCGGTTGACCAGCTTCTAAAGGACGCGTTGAGCTGGCTAATGCAGGTAAACAGATCGCGAGAACGCAAGGGGCCAGACAGGATTAGATGAACAACCGACGCAGAAGGTTGGAGTTTGAAGCTCAGTGCCGTAGGCTTGCTTGTTTTAGGTGCTGCTAAGGGTGGCTGTAGGATGCCAGTAGGAAAGCGCAGGTGGCGCTGCTGTCATCAGGCGGCGTAGCCAGAAGCGCCGCGGTTGCACTTGCCACGACACGCATCGACCCAGGAAGACGATCATAGCAGCCGCGGGTGTTGATGCCAGCCGAGGACACCTGAAGCAAATACGGTAGATGGATGGACTGCAGCGGCGAAGATGGCGTGTGGCTGCGCGCGACACGAACGCGTCTAGCGCGATCTCGGGATGCTCCCGAGGTCGGGGTGAACCAGCCGATCAACGTCAACTTGTCAAGGGCAACGAGGGCTTCATCACTGCCGTCACCCTTCGTACCTAGGTCTCATCCCAACGACACTTGGAAACAAATCCGTGGAGAAGGCACATCATCCTTGGAAGGAGTGCCCATGTACAGCATAGCAGGCAATAATCCACAAGCTCCGCACTAAGCGGAATTCCGCAACTATGCCCAGGTGCCAGTCATTTGTGAACATATGCCTGAGCCTACATAATGCCTCTTGCCGCAACCTGACCGTCGTATACAGCCCTAGCAAGTAAGATATCGGCGAGCAAGGAAGGACGCGTGATAGTGATTTGGGGCCATTATCGTATCAGGCTCCCATACTTTAGAGGCTCTCAGATACCGGTACACAATATCAATTCGAACAGCAAACAGCCTCAAATATGGATCCTCGTACAGTCGGTACGGTATCCTAACCAGATTCAGAACCACCGCTAACCAAACATTAAGACTTATCTGCAGCGGCGCAAGATACTTTCGCGACCTTTGTCAAGGACGAAGCCTTCTTCGCTCTCAACTTTTACCTAGCATGCAACAGCAACATCGAAGCTTGTGCGCCCATCCGCCAGAACCATGCATCTTTCCAACTCGAGCTGAACCAGCTGGAAAGCAGTCTTGATACGTCGAAGCCAGCGTACATCGTTCTCCGCCGCGGTGGCTCGCTCACGTTCATCACATACGTGCCATATCGCGCGAAGGATACCGTGCGAGACTTCTTCCTCAATTACAGACACGATATTGTACGACAACTTGGCCCATCGCACATCTCAAGCTCGATAATATGTAAAGAGATCGCAGAGATTACAGACGCTCGATCGTGGGCAGAGCGAGATGCAGCTGCTACCCTGATAGACGACATAAGCATTCAAGGCAATAATGTAGAGTCGTGTACGAGCGCCGCGCATGCTGGAGGCGCTCGAAAAGACCTAGGATACAGGAAGAACAAATGCCGCCTTTGCGATCGCCGCATGAAGAACAGAATATCGCCCGAAGCTCTTGCAGCGCTGAAGGTGCTTCAAGGCCCTGGGGCAGCCGTGCAGATTGTAAGGCATTCATCTCAATAGTACCTTTTAAGCGTAATAGCTGACCCGATCCAGTCCGTCGATAGCACTACCGAGACCCTCAAGCTGAACTACATAAAGAACGAACTATCCCCGATAGATGTTGCAGCAAACGTACCAACCGACAAGCCTAGTTTCACCTTCTACCGTCACCCCGCCACTCATCTACTCTACTTCATCTTCCACTCGCCCGACCATGCCACAGTGCAGCAACGTATGAAGCACACAATGGCCATACCTGGTCTCATCAATGTCCACGCTCAAGACCAAGACGTGCATGTAGACCAGAAGATTGAGATTCATGAACCGGACGACTTGGTCTTTGGAGCCAGAGACGAGCGCATCGGCAGGTTCAGAAGCGTGTATCTGAGGAACGGGTTTGACGGGACGGAGAGCACGTATGATGGTTTAGAAGCCGACAAAGCTTTTTACGACGGGATCAAGTAGCGCATCTTTTATACATGACTTTTGTAGATAATACTCTTATCGTGCACCTATCTCAATTCTACCACACTCGTCTCACTACTTTACCTCGTGAATATACTCCGCTGGCTCGCCTCTTTCAGTTGAGCCTCTACGCTGGCCAGCAAAGTTAAAGCCTTCTAGTACACATTGTGCGCACTGTAAGGTGACTGCGGAATTGACAGGAAGGTTTACACCAGCAAAGAGTAGTGGTGTTGAGGAACTGATCGGAAGCTTATGCATACACCCATATGATAAGGAAAGCAACCACACTTCCTTCCTCGCTGGATTCGTCATCCACAAGGCACATATCAAGTCATGATGCGCCGTATCAGTCTAAAGCGTGTTTCTCGTAGCCTATGGTATCGTACAGTACAGTAGATGCGCGAATGCTGCACGGAAAGAAAGACAAAACGCCATCTGCTTATATGCAAGTTTGTATGCCTTCACCCCAGTATGCAGCGGAGATGATGTGTGGAGGAAAAGAGTAGATAACACAGACATGACCGCGCCGATGCAGAAGTATAGACTAGAAAGCGATGAAATTGGAAATGAAAAGAACACCATGCAGAATGCTACCCCTTGTCTCAAAGTCAGGACGGGGAGAAACGACTTTCCCTCCCAGCGCCGATGCAGGAATATGCGAATGACCTAGACCTAGATGGATGGAGATGTCGCGTGGGGATATCGAAATGACACTACGCGTTTGAGTGCAACAAGGAAGACCCGGTTATGCATCTACATCGTCTTCCTGATACGCCTCCTCTTTCGCCCACTGTCGACTTCTACACTCGTGCTCATCGTATCCCTTGCACTCCGCGGGGTGGAAAACCGCTCACGGATGTGCTCCCGGATGACCTTCTTGGTCTTGTCGCGCTTCAACTGGCGCTCCTCGTCTGGGTCGACGAAGCGATGAACAGTGCGGTGATCGCGTATGCGCTCTTCCTTGTCGTGCTTGCCCTCCTTCTCCGTCTTGGGCCAGGGGAAGCCGTACAGTTTCGAATGGCGCTCGCACCGTGGACATTCTTTACGCGTGTTGTAGCCGTCTTGCTGTACAAAGTCGACGTCGCATGTCTGGCAGTTGACCCACTTGGAGTACTTGGCTGACAGGAGAGCGTTCGATGTCATGTAGTCGCCCGGCTTTCGCGTGTTCTCGACATAGTCGGCTTCGTCTCCCTCTTCAATGGTGATAGGGGTACCAACGCGGTTCTGGACGTCGAAACGAGACTTTGAGCGTGTTGTTCGTAGTGTTGGGCGGGGTTTGCGCTTGACAATCTGCTGGTTCACATCGTCAAACTCGAAGCTCTCAGAAAGTTCGCTGAGATCGGACATGTATGCGTCTTCGTCTGCAGGCGGGGAGGGCCACGGGGCGTTTACCGTTGTCGTAGTGATTTCCTCCTTCACTATCGCCACTCCCATCGCTGGGCAATCTTGTATTGTCGTGGAGTCGACCTGCTCCTTGGGATCGCCGGTGTCGTGCGGGTGATCTTCGTCAATCGAGGTGGCATCTGTAGATGATTGAGTCGACTTGGGTGACGCTGCTGCTATGGACGATTGCGGGGATGCCTCTCGCGACGAGCTGGCCAAGTCCGTAATCACCGTAAGAACACCTTCGCTATGTTCATTGCGGACTTCTTGCGATATCTCTGGCGATGAGACCAAATTGGTCGCTGGATCCTCTATACTCGAAACCGGGAGCTCCTGACGCAGGGACGATGTGCTGTGTGCCTTTTTCAGCGTCGTCTTGCGCAGCAGATTCGATGTGGGCTGCTTGGATGGCGAAGTCTTCTGCTCAAATCTCGCTCGCTTTGGGGCGGGTGTTGTATCACGCGAGGGGTCGTCGTCCGTTGAATCTTCCAGCGATCGCTTCTGAGAAATGGAGGCCGCATCGGAAGCGGTTTCGGCGGTCTGATCATGACCTGCGCCCTCCACCTCTTCATCATTCCCTTCATCGTTGTGGACGACTCGCTTCATAGGTGCCCAGCCGTTTTGCTGCAGACTTTCGCAAGTATTACACAAACACTCCTCATTATCGTCGCCAAAGTAGTCCTCGCCGTACGAGACTGTGATTTCTTCTCCTTCAAGAATCGGCTTCACTGCAACAATCTGCATGCCGTCGTAGCCTTTGGTTGTGAGTTTTGCGTTTGCGTCGCAATCGTGATTGGCGAAGCGCGCGGGACCTAGGAACAAGGAGCGCGTCTTCTTGCGGCTTGAAATAACCAGACTGAAGTCCTTGCTCTGCAGCTCTAGAGTTTTCTCTTGCTCTTCAGTCATAGCTACTTGCACGCCGGTCAAGTACTTGATTTCTTCGCGTGGGTTGATGTCTCGTCGCGCGGTGATTGAGGCCTCGTGTTCCGTGATAATGTATCGGTTGGTGGTGGTGACCTCGAATTGGCAGTCGGCCATGTAGATGTTGACGTATCTGCGGAGATGGCGCTTGAACTGATCCTGATCGCGCTCATCCTTCAGCGTGTTCATGAACCTGCGCAACCCCGGCAGTTGCACCAACTTGTGCACTGCCTCTGCAGGATCCCTCTCCCAGACTACGTGTCGTCGGATAACGTCGGCCACATCCTCCTCGTGTAATCCCCGCGAGCCTGTGAAGCGGCCACCTCTGTTCTTGCGAATCTTGGCCCAGAAGTAGAGTTTGTCCACGAGCGCGTCGGTGATGATGTCGTCGAAAGTGGCGAGCTTGTCCAGCGTCAGTTTCGTCGAGGGCGCCATGATGGCGCGATGGGGTGGATGAGTTCGAACGTGCCCGCGCAATCCGCCGCCGGTCGTGGAGATCGTAGGGAGTCGTAGGGTTTCGCGATTAAGGGGGAGGCTGGCAGGGCTGGCTGACGTTATGGTGGCCAGCAACGACAAGTCATTCACCGTCGCGTACAACAATAGCTGCACCACAAACGAAAAGAAAGAGCGTGCAGACGACGCGCGCAAGGGAAGGAGCGAGCGACGGCACGCACGGGGGATCCAGCACTCGCCCGATAGTTTACGGGAGTATGGACTCGACGGAACTAGCCCTGCAGGCTATCGAGACCCGCATGCGGCGCATGGGGTGAAGGGCTAAGCGAGCATCATCGGGGCCCCTGCCCATGTGCGGCTAAACTGCGGTGGCACGAGTCTGGCTTGCGACTTTGACAGCGACCAAGACACACACCCCCGACGTCAACACCACCACGCCGCGCGCATCGAGGCAGGCAGTCGAGACCAGGATATCGGGAGAAGCCACACAGGATGATTCAATTAAAGGTGTGCTGGGCCGGTCACGCGCGGCAGAGCAAGGACTGATGGATGCCCTTCTAGACCCTCGTGAATTGCATCGACAACTCGGGCGCCGCCATAGTCGAGTGTGTCAATGTCCTGCGATCGAAGCGCCCCGCGAAAGTTGGTATGTGCGCGAAACTCCAAGGCACGGCACGAAGCTGATGGAAGCAGGCGACCGCATAGTAGTGGTTGTAAAGAAGCAGCGAAATTTCGGCCCGGAAACCGGCAACAGCGTCTCCATCAGCGCAGCGAACAAAGTACGGCGAGGCGACGTCCGACATGCAGTTGTGGTACGGACAGCGAAGAAGTGGCAGCGGCCGGACGGCAGCGTGGTCAAGTTCGACGACAACGCCTGCGTACTTATCAACAAGGCCGGAGAGCCCATCGGATCGAGAGTCAGTGGTGTTGTCGCGGCAGAACTGAGGCAGAAGCAGTGGTCCAAGATCCTATCGCTGGCGCCCATGCACGTATAACGGCTGGCATGTGGGTGGGATGAAAGATGCATTTTTTGGGAGTCTATGAGCGCTTTGGAATGTAACATTATGTGTATGCCACTACAATTGTACCCATGGGTATCTCAACGGCTGTTCCCTAAACTCCTCGCAGCAGATATGTGAGATTAAACGCCAGCTACATGCATTTCATGTCGTTGTTCTCTTAGTTATCAGACGGGCGTGAGACGTGACCGCATCCGGCGCACACGTAGTAAAGGGCCTGGACCGGTCAGAATGGCTTGCGAACATGGACGAGAAGCTTACCATGCCCGTCTCGGCGGTCCGCTGCTGCGACTGGAAGAAGACGGCTTCGTTCTCGCCGCACTCTGTGCATTGTTTCTGGATGCGCGGTAACTAGACGCAGGCACAGTCAGCGAGCACGCTCAAGAGCAAGCAAGCAACTGTACTGGTGGAAGACGCAGGAGGCGCTTTCAGGACGTGGGTTCGTCCCACATGTCCTCGTCAAAGTCGTCGTCGTAGTCTTCAAACATTTCATCCTCCTCGCGCATCTGCTGCTGGGGGCGCTCGGCTTGCGGGTCCTCGTCCTCGGCCTCGAGGGCAAAGCCAGGAGCCGATTCCTCGCCGCACTCCTGGCACATGATGGGCATGCCGCACATGGTGCAGCAGGGCATCTCCTCAGAGAGAGCGGCCTGGGCAGCTTGGGCATCGGACAGGGAGTAACCAACCGTGGGATCCTGAGCAACCTCGGCTGTGACACCAGCTGTGGCTCCGACTGTGGACGCGATCTCGTGGCGCATGACGCAGGATGAGGGCGCTTCTTCGGTGAAGTTGCATGTGCGGCAGGCGAAAAGCAGCTTGTTCTCGGATTTGTCTTCGCGGGGGAACAGCAGGTTGGAGCTGCACGTGGTTAGCCAGGCTTCCTGGTTGCAGAAGAGGCGACGCACCATTCTGAGCAGAAGCGGAAGAGAATGGGCTCCTTGCCGCCCTTGGAGCCGCCCATTTGCGCTGCTGGTGAAGCCATGCTGAGTGGACGTGAGGTCGTAAATCGTAAATGTGCGTGTGCGTGTGGATCGTCGTGACGGCTGTTATGCGCGTGTGAAGAGACAAAAGCGTCGAGGAAGCCTGCGCACAAAAGTTGGGTAGGTACAGAGACAGAGTCACGTCGGCGAGCGCGGGCCACCCGTCTTGATTCGCGCGGCTTCCGTTGCTGTAGCAGAGCCGCGTTCTTTGTTTGGCAGGCGCCCCCGCATTATCGACCTTGAGGCG